GCTGGCTGAGGAATTCTGGGAGTTGAAGTCCACAAGTCTTAAAGTTGTCAAGGTTGGACACCCCTGGCTTATACAAAATACCATGTTTCCCCGAAAATAAGACCCTGTCTTATATGTTTTTTTGGCCACCCAAGAGGAACCAGGTCTTATTTTCAGGAGCGGGGGGGTGTCATCCACTGACTAACCTCACTTGCGCGCGTCGCCCCTGGACTCCTTTTCGCTGTCAGAGACCTTCAGGAACGACTTCTTCTGCAGCTGGCAAGGCTTTCCTGATGGCCTCTGCAGCCGGTAATAGAGGTCAGGATCGATCCTGAGCTTTGTTATCAGCTACAGAGGCCTTGCTGGCCTTGCTGTCTGAAGAATAAATGGGCCGGCAGGGCAGGTGTTCGGGTGTGCGAAGCCTGGCTACAACTGTCCAAAGGTAAGTAGTAGGGCAGCTCCACCACCACCACCCTAGCTTAATTTTTACCCGTCCACTCTGCAGTGGGCAGGGTCTTATTTTGGGGGGGTAGGGCTTATATTGGGCTTAAATCAAGCTAGGACTTACTTTCAGGGGAAACACGGTACTAATAGTAATACTACTACTACTACTAAAATAATAATTTAATAATTAAAGAGACGATATTTTTATTATTATATAAAAAATTATTATTATATAATAAAATTATTGTCTCTTATTCATTGAACGGAGTTTCATGTTTAATGAATAAGAGACAATAATAATAATAATATTTACTTGTACGTAGTAGTAGTCTTTCATCATTTATTTATTCATAGCAATAATCTTTTATCTTCTAATTTCTACCTCTTTTTATCTAACCACTGGTAAAACAAATCCCACCTTAAAAAAATATTCTGATTCTTCCTTGTCTTTTATTCTGAATGTCAATCTATCCATCTCTGCGCATTCTAGTATTTTTATTTTTTAATTATATTTTCATCCAGGGGGTGGTGGAGGTAGGACTCCCTTGAGGATTGGGATCTCCCCCTCCCCACTGACCTGTACGCGGGGTGATCCTGTCCCAATAACTTTGGTTAGGAGCAGCAGCATGTCCGTACGAGGAAGTAACTCAGGTCCGTTCTGGATGTTGGCCGCACAAAACAAGAGAGAGAAGACTTTGGTTGCTATGGAACTGCAAAGATAACTGGTCTTCTGGCTCATGACCATAATCAAGCCCAACATTTCTGCCACTAAACAAGTACCGTTGTGACACGAGCTTCACCCCATTTTACAGCCTTTCTTATCACCGTTGTTAAGTGGATCACTTGTTAGTAACACAGCTGTTAAGTGAATCTGGCTTCCCCGGTGATTTTTTTGCTTGTCAGAGGGTTGCAAAAGGGAATCACGTGTCTCCTCCCCCCCCCTCTGGGGATATTGCAACCGTCGTAAATATGAGTCAGTTGCCAAGCGTCTGAATTTTGATCATATTGACCACCAGGATGCTACAAAGGTCGTAAGTGTGAAAAAAAATTGTATTTTTTCCCCCCTCAGTTCCATGGTAACTTTGAATGGACACTAAACGAATGGTTGCAAGTTTGAGGACTTTTAAATAGAAACCTTTAGCTAAGTTGATTCAATTGGGGGGGATCCTCCAGAATAGTTTAGGAAAATGTACGAAAGGAGGAAGAAAAATGTGAGAGAGGAGGGAAAAAATGTGAGAACAGAGAGAGAAAATATAAGAAAGGAGGAAGTAAAATGTGAGGAGGGAGAAAAATGTGAGAAACAAGGAAGAAAAATGTGAGAAAGGAGGGAGAAAATGTGAGAAAGGAGGGAGAAAATGTGAGAAAGGAAGAAGGAAAATGTGAGAAACAAGGAAGAAAAATGTGAGAAAGGAGGAAGGAAAATGTGAGAAAGGAGGAAGGAAAATGTGAGAATGTGAGAGGGAAAAATATGAGAAAGAAGGGAGAAAAATATGAGAAAGGAAGAAGGAAAATGTGAGAAAGGAGGGAGAATGTGAGCGAGAAAAATGTGGGAAAAGAGGAGAAAATGTGAGAAAGGAGGAAGAAAAATGTGAGAATGTGAGAGGGAAAAATGTGAGAAAGGAGGGAGAAAAATGTGAGAAAGGGAGGAAAATGTGAGAAAGGACGGAGAATGTGAAAGAGAAAAATGTGAGAAAGGAGGGGAAAATGTGAGAAAGGAGGGGAAAATGTGAGAAAGGAGGGAGAAAAATGTGAGAAAAGAGGTAGAAAAATGTGAGAAAGGAGGGAGAAAAAGAAATAAAAATCAGGGTTAACGGAAGTCCTCGACTTATAAACAACCATCACTAAGCCCAGAATTACGGCCATAAGTCGTTGACAGTGATTAAGAAAGTCACATGACTGTGCCCAATTTTACGTCTCTTGGCAGTCGATCACTTGGAAAAGAATCAAAGGAGTTTCACCTCGTCCACCAGCCAGTTCTCGTCGTTAGTAGAGGACCGCAGCTGAGCATGGACGGTGATGATCTGCAAAACCTTCACCATGAGCTCCTCCTTCTCTTCGCTGTCGTTGGGGGTCTCCAGCAGCACCATTTTCAGAAGAGGAAAGACTAAGGAAAAGGCCGGGGCCGATAATGGCACGGGACCTGGCAGGCGGAAGGGCGAGAAAACAAAGGAAGGATGCCGACCAATCCCAAATACTTACAAGGAATCCTCAGCTTATTTTTTTTGTTGTTTAATGACCCCGTAATCCTTTGCAGGGTGGAGTCGGGGCAACGGATTGGAGATGAGTGTTTTACTGGCCAGATGCCCTTCCTGTTGCCGGTATGGAGTTTTCTTCAGCAGATAATATCCTCGTTGTGCCCAGAGAGAGAAATATCAGCCTTTATCTAGGATCGAACTCACAGCCTCCTGATTGTGAGGCGAGAGCTCCATCTCTAGGCCACCGCATCACTCCGCAGCTTATGACCACAATGGAGCTTAAAATTTGTGTGGCTAAGCGAGACGGTGTTAGTTACGACCTTTCTCGCCCCGATTGTTAAGTGAATGAAAGTATCAAACCTCCAACAAATCCACCCCCATTCAAATCCTAAGTCTCTAGCCACATCCCTCAGAGTAAAAAAAAAAAAAAAATGATTAGGAGTGACCATGTTGGCGTTAGCTGGGTGCAGCCGACACTAAAATACATTATTCATCTCCCCCTTGACCCTGATCTTCCCCCTCAGCCCCTGGATGTATATTCTCCAATGGGACACATCCATAGCCAAGAGTCATCAATCATGCTCTCTGATAATAATCTTGCATGCCAACAGCTTTGGGCTGCCAAGGCGATTATCTGAGGCATTTAAGGAATGTGCTGCTTTTCTCCACTCCCTTTCTGCGGGCAACTGAAAAGACCAAAGGAGTATCTTTTTAGTTGACATTAAGATCGTTAAGCCGAGGACTTCCTGCACAAGGATAGTCACGCTGAGAAGGTAATCGAAGGCCTCACCCTCCTCTCCCTTGGTTATCCGGATCGGCACGGTGTGCGTGTGCAGCAAACCGATCACTCGGTTCACCGCTGTGGGCAAGTCTTCCTGGCACCAGGATTCATCCAAATCGCATTCGGGTTTCATCATTCGCAAAGTCACGTGACTCGCAACGGTCCCTGAAAGACGAAAAGAAGGGAGAGAGAGGGCGTGTTGGAGCCATGGTGGAATCTCGCCAAAGAACGCCCTTTGCAGACTGCGGAATAACAAGAGTTGGATGGGACCTTCTATTCCAGAGGTCCTTGTGCTGACCCACGCTTCGTCAAACGGAATTAAACACAAACTTGTTTTAAAAGCAAAATCTATTTTAATGCAACGCTGGGAATTGCTTTCATTCACAGCCAGAATGAAACTTAAAACAGTTCCCCAAGATAAGCACATGCCTGTCAAGTGCTGTGGAATGCTGCCCAAAACAGAAGTATCCAAATTAATTATAACAGAAACCAACCGAAGTACCAGAAAAAAAACGACCAGAATATACAGAGCTTCAAGAGGGACTTGGAATCTATTGAACTGCTTTGCTTCCTGCAAAGCGTTCGTCATTGAGGACTGACTTTTATCCCTTATGGGAGGGGCAATCACCTCCTAGCCTTACTCCCGAGTCGCCCCTTTTGTCTCAGCTGCTCTCGCCTTCTAGCAGCTCTGTGCATACGCGCACTGGGAACAGGCTCCCCTTGTTCCTCTGCCTCACTACTGCCAGACTCTGGAGGCTCCAGAGGCAGCACTCCACTCCCAGATGGTCCTGGCCCCATCCCTGAATCGGACACAGGGACCCTCGTCCGAGTCCTCTCCAGAATCCCTGACTGGTCCCTTCTTTCTCACTCTCTGACTCCGCTGCCGTCTGCATCAGCTGCTGGAGAACCACAACAGTCCCCAATTTGTGGACTGGGAGCGGTCCAGAAACCAGTCTGTGCAAACAAGCGAAGCCCCATCCGCGGGATGCAAGCAGCACGCAAAACCATGCCCCCTCCAGTCGGTGGCAAAACCTGCCTCCACGGAACTGGTCCCTGGTGCCCAAAGGTGTGGGGGTCGCTGTTCTACAGGAATCTGAATTACTAACGCCGTGGTTACCAACGGAAGTGGCATTCATCCGGTTCAGACCGGTTCTGGCGTACCGGCTGCAAAACTTTTGACCAGTTTGCAAACCGGAAAATACTACCTCTGACTGGGCCCGGCCACCCACCCCCAGCCGTTAACTCTCCTATTTTGCTTGTTTTTTGAGGATTGCCGCGCCTTCGCTGAACTAAAAAAACAGCTCAGCTTACTCACCAGCATTCCGACAGAGGTCAGTCTTCGAGCCCTGCGTGCACATGCAAAGCGTGTGCATAGAATTGCTCACAGAACCAATAGGGGAAAAAATGGGAAACCCACCACTGGTCCCCCAACCTTTTCAGCTTGAGGGGGAAGGCGTGTGAGTAGCAGCTGCAGGCGCTGGTGATCGGAGGCCCGGTTTCAAACAGGCCGCGACCCGGTAGTGAGCCACGGAGCGTGGTAAAGCCTTAGCTTGTGATAAAACTCTGGTCGTTTTGAACTGCCTTGCTTCCTTGAGCAGAACAGCGTGTTTGAAAAACCAGACTTACCAAAGGTCTTTAAGTGATCGGGCATCACGCACGACACCAGAGAAAGGAAGGGGGCCTTAATCCTCGGAGCTGCCAGGGGGGATTTGAGCAGAGGGAGGAAGCAGCCGACAAGGGCAGGGATGTACTGGGAGAGGCTGGGAGGGTTCCTCTTCAGAACAGCGTCAAACAGGCCCAGGGTGGATTCCAATTCAGTGTCCAGCTAAAAGAGAACAACAGCACAGAGTCCAGTTAAGCCTTTTGGGGGGGAGGGAAAAAGCACCTTTGAGACAACTATGACCTGGAGGACTGAGAAGCTCCACAGATATCCAGCAAGGCTGCAATTGCTCCTCAGAGCATTTCTGCCAGTTACCCTTTTCTTCTCCTTTTGCCACTCCTCAAGTGTTCCATTAAAAACAAAACAAAAAAATAGACTCTGAATTACCTCTTTCAATTGCTTTCTCATCTGAGATTCCTTCTCCAGCTGGGCAGTCAACATCTCTTTTTGTTTACTGGTGAGTTGAATCTCTTCCTTGATTCCTTTCTTCTTCTTGATCTCCTGCAATGGATGGCCATTGAGTTTGCCAACCGGAGGGGGGGGGCCAAGATCTTGTTGACAAGAATACAGAATTCAAAGGGATCTCCGAGGTCGTCTAGTACAACCTCCTGCTCAGACAGGAAGCTACCTATATCCTTTCAGACAAATGGTTGTCCAACCTCTTCTTAAAAACCTCCAGTGATGGAGGCACCCACAACTTCTGGAGGCAAGTTGTTCCACTGGTTAATTGTTCTAACTCTCAGGAAATTCTAGGTTGCTTCTCTCCTTAATTCGTTTCCATCCATTGCTTCTTGTCTTGCCTTCAGGGGCTTTGGAGAATAGCTTGACTACCTCCTCTTTATGGCAGCCCCTGAGATATTGGAACCCTGCTGTCATGTCACCCCCTAATCCTTCCTTTCGTTAAACTAAAAGTACCCAATTCCTGTAACTGTTCTTCGTATGTTTTTGAATCCAGATCAATCCTAGACTAGCATCACACACACACACACACACACACACACACACACACACACACACACAC